TAAAATGCCTAAATATTTGACAGGTTAATAAGAAGAAAGCCATGGTATATTGTCATTATGAAAAACTAAAGGAGGTAAGATGTTATAGTGTCTTAAAGAAAACCTTTTTGCGTTACATTTTGTTGCCATATTGGTTCAATGCGGTGCTATATAATTTCATGTTAATGCTATCCCAAAACTGCTAAAAACTATCTTGTATCCTCAACAACACTACTATAACTACAGTTTACTAGTATTAAACAATGAGAAGAATTATGAATGGATCTGATAATTTTCCTGAAACACAGAGGTTTATGTAACAGGAGTATGAAGGAACTTCACAAGTGACGTAAAGATTTTTTCATGTTTAGCACAAATAACAGTCACTATTATTTGAGAAATGAATCGTTTACACCATTTGAACATGAGATAACGCGCAAATCATGAAAAGTTTTTTTAACATGAACGTTACCTTGTCCTTAATGTGTCGTCATTAAATTTGTCCTAGCTAAAAAGAAAACACATACGCCGTACAAGACCCAGAAAATGCACATACACTTTTCAAATTACACACACAAAAGGAATTCAACACAAATATTCAATTTTAATAAGATCAATAGTCCTCTATCAATTCCGATCACTTTTCCAATACTGAACAATTATTAGCCTCGCAAATTGTTTCGTCGTTGTCTTGTAAAAGCCATATCACATTACGTCTCATAATAAAAAATGCAATTCAAATTGCTATATTTATGTAGATATCGTATTATTTGTACTCAGTGATAGTCGCCTTTAATTTTCATCTTCGTTTTGCTCTTTCCAATTGCCTTTACCTAATGGCATAGTTTACGTTACTTACACCAGTTTATTAACTTATTATCACAATTCAGTTACATGAAATGGCTGTATTTTAACTTTAATGAGACGCATTGGGGTATACATTGACTCAACTGAATAGCATCTTCATAATTCACATAATTGTATATAATAAAGTATATGCATACACACATGCGATGCATAAGATATAGTTCGGTGATCCGGGAAGCTACAAAATTGTTAGAAATTAATCGGTCAGCAAAGAGACTGGTTACAATAACTTTTTTGGAAGATTCATCGCAGCAAATTTTCGATGAGCCCTTGATCAGCATCCATACGCCAGTTCTATTTTCAACAAATTCAACAACGTTCCGTGAAGTGCATCCGTGCCCATGTTGCTTATTTCCTGTCCTCACGTAGTTCAGCAGTCTGTTCTTCTACTCTGTGCTTTTAAGGAGAAAGTCCAATGAGGTTAGGTCAGGTGATGGGGGGGGGGGGTGTGCCGGGCGGTGATCACCAAGTTCTTGAGATTATTCACGTCAGTAAAGAAATAGTTTACAGTTGCATGAGACAAGACGTATGGCGTTGCTCTATCCTCTTAGAAACAACCTTCTGTTCATTCGACGTCAACCAGCTGCTCCACAAATGTTTACAAGATAAGCTGTCCGTATAAGCATAAAAGAAAATGAACCCACAATCCTGGAAGTAGACACTACACTCTGACCTTCACGCAGTGGTGTTTCACAGATGATATGGGTGTTACAGCAGCCCAGTATCATCTGTTTTGTGTTAACGAAGCTTGGCAGAACCACGTCTCATCTGTAAACCACGTTATGGGGAGAATGTCTGGAAATTCAATAATAACCATTGGCAGTAATAAATGAAACAATTGACAATAACAAATTCGTTTCTTATGATTAAGCTGTGGATTTTCCCTATTTTTTCCTTCAATGGAAACGTAATCTTTTAGGTTGCTTATTCATTTTCAGGCATTAGAAGTATTATATCAAATTTTATAATGCCTATTTTACTAATAAATTCCTAAAAGTGTTTAAATTTCTAAATGTTACGTGTTATTGTGTTTATTGATCAAAATCCATTTATCCTTAATAAATACTTTTAATGTATGTTTTTTTCGTTTTTCCTGCAGAGTACAGAGAAATCGAACAACCATCCATAAATCCACGATCTGCTTTACTGTCAAGACAGTGCGGGTACTTCGTATTACATGTGCAAAATCACTGGTGCTACTCGAGTAATTTTGTACTTCGAATTTTAAACATATTTTTCTCAAAAACTTCCAATGTCCCATTTTTAGGTTGAACGTTTCGCGACTGTAAGAAATATTGATTACTTGGTGCTTTCTCTGAAATATTATGAGAATTAATATTATAAAAGATTAAAAACATCTTTCAGAAGAACGGTTTTTTCAGCTTCGGTAGCTTATGTAACTAATCAATAAATATAAGCAATTCATTTAGCATTTATAACAGACTTAATTTCATACAATTAAATAACAAATGCAGATTTTCACACTAATGGTTACAAGCACTTGCGATATGTTTACTTTGCCATCCTGTGAAATAACGCTCAGACAGCGTTGCCGATGAATATGTATTTGTTGAAGGATATTTTTCTTATTTAAGGTACACCACTTGTGTTTGCTATGCACTTTTATAAAGGGGGCTCGGACAAAAATGTTGCGGGTGGGCCCGCACTCATTTCGTTACGCTACTGATTATTGATACATAATGTTTATCTCTAAAGTTTTGAAATTTTGATGTTAAGAAACGTATTTACTAAACAACGGGAAGCTAATTCAGCTAAAATTCAAATAATGAATTTGAGAGATCATGGCGTTTATTCGAGGAAAAATTTAACGCTGTCTTCTCATCCAAACTTAAATTGCGCGGCGCCGGTCCTTTGGTCATTACTCGCGCGCATCGCCGCTGCTTTCTTATCAGCATGGTATCCAAATTTGATAGGGCAGGAGGGGTGAAAAAAAACGCTGATTACATGGAAGGATCGGACATATGTGAAGGTCCAGCACAGGCTTAAATAATCCAAAATTTATTTTTACAATTGTTCTGATACGTATGCATTAAAGGTAGAAATATTGGTCTTTCCTTTGAATGCCAGTTGAAGCCGTGGCATTTATATCTTCCTAAATAGGGAATTTTTGCACGGCGAAGCATGCAGCAACCGACAGTTCTCTCGATCTTCTGCGCATGTACAGATCGAATTCCACATCACTTTTGCATCTGTACATGCGTAGATCGACATTGCAATCTATTTCTGAATACTTAAAAAGCGTTTATGGCATCTAAAACGTTATAGCACTATCGTTCTTTTGCGCATGCACAGTTCAAGTTTCGCACCGCTTCAGTGCATCTGCGCATGCGCAGATGAACTGTAGTGCCATCCGTTATGGCGTGCACAAATCCCTACTATGTCGTGCGAGCTTCCTAGAATTAGAAGATACCGATCGTCCATTTAACTTTCCAAATTAGTTAAGTGTTCTTGAATCGATTTTTAAAATAAAATAATTCTGTGCAACAAATCCTCCAAATTCAAACGTTGAGTGTCCGATACACATGCTTTTACTAAATAATTTTAATCTTATCTACATGTAGTGTGTATCTAGTTATGTAGGAATAGAAGCTGACCAAGCAACTATTCCTAATTTCCTATTCGTAACCCACAACTGAATGGTAATTAACAAACTAACCTTGGCATCTTTTGAGCTCCCAAGTGGTATATTCAGCTTTGAATTTAAGCATTCCATCCTTGATGCATGGAATACACAGTGTCAGAACACAAATTTGAAGCTAAATAAGAAACAAATCTGTAATATTCTGGTCCTTCTCCTCCTTGACTGCTAAGCGTGAGGGAACAATACTCGTACTTTTGCCCATTGGCCATTTCATACGTATATCTTTTCTGTGAGGAACAACCTCCAATTTGTGAGATCTGCGAAACAAGTCTCTCAGTGAAACATGCCCTCCTGCATTCAAGGATGTTTAATGGTGTTGTTGAGTCTGCGAAATACTCGTAAGATAAGTTGGGAGAGCAATTAGTAGAACCTGCAACGAAACATCACCTCTTCTATCGGTAGTTTTTTATTAGACTGGAAAAGAAAACGACACACAATTGACAAAGATTGTTACTTCGAGAAATAATTAACGAGTATTGAAGAGTTTGTTACAGTTACCTCTGTCCAGACGAAATCAAACGTTTCTTTACGAATTTCGTCGTTTTACTTCACGTCACGACTGCCTCCAGTGCCTCTGATGGCAGTGCTAGCTGTTGACACGTAGCGTGTCCGGTGGAACTCAGTGGCTTCCGCAAAATTTTGACAATGGTATATTTTACGCGGGGCTGCGCAGGAGTTGATGCGATCTGTCGGTCACGCTCCGAACTAACAGGAAACAGTTAACAATCTACGTCAAGAAAGTTTGTACGAAAGAAGTGAGTATTTGGTCATCCGGGAAGAAATTCGTGTGGCTTTTTTGAGTAAATCTCCAGAGCGCCAAGTTTGAAATGTATGATCCTCTGAAACGCCTTCAAAGGACATCAGAAGTGTCTTATTAGAAACGAGGCGCCAAATTTGAAGCAATTTGGCGATCAATGAGCCAACAAGTGTTTTCGTAGGCACTGTGAACCTTTCGCTCTTAAATACTTGATGATACCTCCCTCTCCCTAGACTGTTTGATTTTCTTCGGGAGACCAAAATAACGGTAGTGAGATTCGATTCACATGTTATCTTGCTTTATAATACCGGTTTGTCCCTTTAAAAAATGTATAATTTGGGCTTCTATGTATTGTATTATTTTCCATTGTAAATCTTGTGTTATCATGTATTAACGGATTTACGTGTGTTATATTTTATATGGGTGGCAATGACAGAAGGGAAACGGACTTTTACATTACACTACTAATAGTTATCATCGAACGGTTGATCCACATTAATGTAAGATCTCTCATCAACATGTGTTTGATCTTAAATGATGTAAAATAAAATGTGTAGATTACATCGTTTGTTTTAGGAGATAGATGAAGCTAATCGTAAATATTTGTGAAAACGCACAGATCTAGTAGCATCTTCCAGTAAACACAAAGACAAGCACAAACTTACGAAGTAACGAAATAAGTTCGTTTGCGTCACTGCTGCTAAGGCTATTCTTAGCGCTGTGCGGCCTTTGCAGAGGTGCATCTCCTGGAGGTGGGTCATATGGGCATCATGGCCGCCGTGCCTTACGTGTTGCTGGCAGCGTCTCTGCCGGGCGCCGGCCATCTCTCCGACATGTTGGTGCGCAAGAAGCTGATGTCAGTCACGCAGGTGCGCTACTTCAGCTATATTTTTATTTGCACAGGCGGTTTTTATCTGGCGCAGCAATTGTCACGTGCTTTCGTACAAAGTTTCGTATGAACTAAGTGAGTATTTGGTCAACCGGGAAGAAATTCGCGCGGCTTTTAACTAGCTTTTAACCAGTAACTAATCGATTCTGTTTTGTCGTAGCGAAATGAAACTCCAGGTTCATCTAAGTTTCTTTTACGTACTTTACACATAGTTTTCTACCATGAAGTTCTCTGATTTTTCAAAGAGTTTCCGATGCTCGAATTTGCTTGATGGAAATAATAATAGTATCCAAAATGGCAGGTTCGGTACTATTCTGTATGTAAGATGTAAGTTCTGAGGCAACCATTTAGTATACTCAGATAATTATTTGAGAACGCGTAAGAAAGATGAAGATTAATGACATCTAGGATTGCTTCGTAGCATTACTAAGCTTTATTTTTACAAGTAGCACTCCCTTTAGTATATTTCTCTTGTTACTTTCTCGTGCACGAACGTCTATACGGAGTAATACACGTAGTAAGAAAGTTACGCTATGAAAAATCGATATCGAGATTTTATGAGAAATATGCACTTTGTAGTCCCCTGATACCAAAAAGGTTGCTGGTTTTTTTTTTCTCAAAACGATACTCCGTCTACTCGTGTGTCCATCCGTACATCTGTACTATCGTATCGATCCGTTCATACTATTTGAATAATTTTGTTTTTCAAAATGAGTATTCCCCAATCGATCTGACCCGACCCAAAACGCTGCGATTTCGAAAACAACAACTTGAAATTCGTGAGTACTAAATGAGTGATAAATATATTTAAGGCGTTGGTATATTTTAGATATTTTCTCAAAAATATCTTTAAACTTTTTCTTTGAATTCCTCATAATAATAGTCCAATTCTTTTGTATAAACGGCAGAGCCCAAAATTCTAAGTTAACTCTGAATTTTTGAAAATTGCAAAAGTTTGAAATTTTTGGGACTCCCCTGGAACATCTACATTATTGATGACATTTCATTCTTCAAAAGACGTTCACCGGGAAAGGTGTCTCAGTGCATCAACTGATATCACCACAGTACCTCTGACCGGCAGGACAAGATTCGAGTTCCCAGTGACAAGGATTTTGACAATAGCTTGTCAGATAGGTCGAATTCAGTCGCTGCATGAAGGAGAATTCTGGAGGCCGGCTGCTCTGATCGATAGTTTTCTGCAGTTTCTCCGATCAACACCAGGCGAATGCCGGAGTAGTACCCTAACAAAGAGCCACGGACAGCGCGTGATATTTCCTTCCTCTTCCTTGTCCTATCCTCACTCCTTACACACACACACACACACACACACACACAACATGCACTACTCCACACATGTCGGACGGGAGATTGGTCGGGAGTTTAGAACGGGTTTCCCGGCGGGGACGTTGTTGCGCTGGTGGGAGATACCTAGTTCAGGGAAACCCAGCTAGCCGACGATAGGTCGGCGCCGGATCTTGCCATACAGCGGGGGAAGATCACCTTAAAGGGAACATGCACTACACTTACTGGACTAATGACCTCTGTAATGAACGCGCCCGGAATCAGTAGCAACCAACCCACTTTCAAATTACATTTTTACTGCAAAATTAGTCGTATATTAAATGTCATGTGTATTTTTAAAAATAGTAGTCTTAATTTTGAATGAAATATGGGCAGCATTAAAATAATATTGTCCAACAAACTTTTACTATTTTTTCTGTTATTTTCATAATCATATGTTCCAAGAAATCTGTGAAATTAATTAATATGCAACCAGTCAATTGTATTTCATATAATTTTAATTATTGAAATAACAAATTTCATATTGTAAGTACGTTTCACGAACTAATTGTTCACTTATTTAGACACATATATTCTGTAAATACGATAAAATTTAATGATATCTGTTAGTGATAAAACTACAAGCAACGCATGCTAATACAAAATTATTATGGATAACAATCACCTTATCATGTTTTAGAACTTACGATAATTTTTTTAATTTTTTTAAAAATATGATCATGGCCAGATCTCAAATATTTACATTCTTGATTCGAATGTGTTACTAATTTTATTAAATATATTTTTAGAAATTAATCTCGCGTGCATTCGTGCTGTTTGTCCAAAATAGACGGATTGTCGAAATCAAATTTTGGTGAAAGCTGAATTCTGTGCTTTAAAATCGTGCTAAACATTTCATTAATTTCGTTAGATATTTTCATGTTCGCGCATTTTTTGTTTTATTCTGCGTTTAGTTTGGCCAGTATATGATTTGTTGCATTGTCTTTAACATTCGTAATAAGATTTTGTTTGTGTGTTAATAATTCTAGTTAATATATTTCAATTGAAGTATTTTAATTTTTCATGATTTTGTTGGTAATTTGACGTACTAATAGCAGAACTGATTTATTTTTGTTTTCATCTGAGGATATAAAATTGAGTTGATCAGCTATGAAAAGCTTGCGCAGAGTGAAAAAATATTGAAAATGACTAGTTGAAAAACGGCTGTGGCGTTCTGTTACACCATTAGTATATCATCGACGGTGCACGCAGCGGAATAAGGCACCTATTCGAGTTACAATATGCGAGTCGAGTAATAATTCATATGGATTATTTTTTTAACCAGAAAAATAAGGTAATATAAATAGAATTTGGAAGCATAACTGCAAATATTTATTGTAATCATATTAACTTACATTATAAACAAAAGCTCACATTGCTTTACGAGATTGATGATACCCGTGCGTGATCTGGGCTCTCCGGGTAACGCCGCGTCGAAGGCTCTGTAGCCGAGCCAGTAAAAATGCCAGCATACCGCAGACCAGCCCTGAGGAAGACTACGACAGGATGGTCGAAACGTCGGCAACACAGCCTTCGACGCGGCGTCACCCGGTGCAGCCCAGATCACGCATCACGCACATAACTGGTCGCGGAAGCCTACGACTTCATCGATGATATTCGTCACTGCTTCGCCTTCGATTTTGACGTCCACCGGCGCGGCGGTGCCAGTGAGAGCAGGTTGTGGGTACCTGTCGTTGGCGCAGGCGCGCAAAGCGATGCTGGGCGGCACGCTGGCACTGCAGGCGCTGCTCATGCTGACGGTTGCGCACGCGGCCTCGCGCGGGGTGGTGCTGGGCTGCGTGCTGGCCGTCGTCGCCACGGGCGCCTTCCCCAGGGCAACGCTCCTGTGAGTCCCCCGCGCCGCTGGGAATGTTGCCTCGATGGCCTTATGATCAATTGTTTTCTTTTGTAGGTAAATGTAATCAATATGCATTGTTTATTGGATACACAATATTATTATTGAAGTATTCTTTAGTTTATAATCAAGCACGTGTAATAATAATCAAACTTTAATTATTCAAGGTCTACTTTATTCTTTCTTTTACAGAAACGTAAGTAAACGATTCGCAGGTTGTTTTGCACAATTCATCAGAAGTAATATTAAAAATGTTATCATTCTTCGAAATTCCATTTTGTGTTGCTCTTAATAAAGTGTGCAGTCCAGCTCCGAATCGCTGTTTTAATTTTTTAAATTACAAAAAATTCTGGGAAATGCACGTTTTATTGTTTATAAATCTACGGATACTTCAATAATGTTTCGAAAAAATGGGTAGCTTTTTATATACGTAGGACATAGCGAATAACAATTTTCTTACAAGATCAATTAAAGTAGGATTACTAAAGTAAATTCGTACTTTATTATTAGATAAAACATTTTAGAGAAATAAATATTATAAATCAAAAATCAAATAATTCAAATTCAGTGTATCACTTTAGTGCAATCAGAAGCGTCTTCATTTTAGCGACAAGTCATTAGTGCATACATAATTAATCATTATTGCATACCCATTTAAAGCAACATCGGCCCATAAGGGAAAGATATATACACCGTTATCGTCTACTCTAGTCATCACCGTTCATTTTCTCAAAATTCAGTTAATTCAAGAAATTTTCTCAGAAATGATTATAATTGCTTTGTCCGAAGACGAAGCAAAATATTCTTAAAAACTGTGAAGGTCTTATTTCCGCTGAACTCTGAATTTGTAAAAATTGCTACCTTTGAAGTATCGAAAATTGTTAAAAGAATTACCTGCGAAACTACAATATTAATATACATGTTAGAGATATTTTCGTTCATGAAATTTATTCTTAAACTACTGGTGCTACAGAATGGCACACACTTTCTCGTATTAGTTCTCTATTTTCTTTTGTCTGAGCTAGCTATTCTGCCTTGACACTTACTTTTCCCAACTATTGTCACCCAAAATATTTTTTTCTCAACGGAATACTACAATGTTCTGTTTCTCCAGGAATTACCTGGAAATTAGACCAAATTTTTTATTGCCTTTTGATACATAGGAAGAGAAATTTTAAAAAGTTTTGAAAAAATAATTGTTTAAAAATTGCCTAAATTTCAAGCAATATTACTTGAAAGTTACTCGTCTTTTTGTAAAATTCTACATCAAGTTATTTCAAAGTCGGTCTTTGAAGAACAAATTATGTTATGGAGAAAATCTCTGTCTACAATATAGGAAGGTTCAGTGTAGTTGTAGAAGGAAGACGGAAAAATTTGAACTTTGTCAGTTTTCGAAAAACTAGGGATTTCAACGAAAACTAGAACCGTGCCACTCTTTTAAGCTCTATCCTAGAAAAAAAATGTAAGCAAAAAAATGTTAATTTTTAAGAAAATTTTGGAACTGTCGAGGCTTTTTCCAGAATCCAAATATCTATTTGAAACTCAGAAGGCCGTGTGTTCCTTCACGTCGACCCAGATATATCAGAAGGGGAGAAAATCGTCTGAACGGTTTAGGTGCAAGTATTGACCAGAGACAGACTTTTTGTATCGTTTCGCTTGCTTTTAGGATCTGGTAACCGTACGGTTAATCTTAATACCCGGCATTAGCATGGGCATTATGAAAATAAAAGGTGAAAACTTCAGGTAATGTAAATTTTTAAATAATCCAGAATAAAGACATTTTTATTTCAAGAAAATTATTTAAAACAAGATATTTGTACAAAACCGAAACAAAATACCCATTTGTTTTGAGCTCAAAATTACCCACACGTATTAAAAAGTTATGAGAGCTTTCCAAAAAAGAAGATAATCATTTTTCACATGTTTTCAGGTGATATAACAAAAATCTCAATGTTTTAATTTAATTTCAAATGTTTCCAAGTGTAATCATTAGGTGCGAAAACGTATGTAGTAATTAGAGACATCAAATGGAATATCAAGTTAAAGCACAATATTAAAGAGAGAGATACTTATTTCTGCTTTTAAAAAAATTGAAAATAGAGTTCAATTTCTCTACTATGTCGTCGATACTACTACTCGTCGATATCGAGAAAGATATAAGAACAAGAATATATCTTCGTTCGTAGGATACCATAAACACGATATTATTTCTGTTATCAAAGCACCCTACGTACAACAAAATTGTACATGTACAAAAGACACTTATTAATTTTGATTTATCAAAATTACAGTATTATTACAAAATAACATATAACTACTTAAAAATTAAACTTATCTACCGCAGAGTTAACCACTTGGACTTGTCACCAAGACACGCGGGATTGCTCATGGGCGTCACCAATTCGCTGGCCACTCTGCCCGGCATAATCAGCCCCGTCGTCACCGGATTCCTGGTAACTGGGGAGGTGAGATAGTTTTGAGAGTTCTTAAGATTCTTGTTTTTGTTGTAGTTGTTGATTTTAATTCCGTTCGTTTGCCATGATTTTTGTTCGTTTTTCAAATTCGAAGGTTAATAATGATCGATAAACGTACGAAAATAAATTTCGACAAAGAATATGATCTAGAAGTACAAATCTTCTATTCTTAAATTTTTAAGATGTATTTGCTGCTTCGGGAACGAGATATTAATGAAAGGAGGAGCAACGATAATGTATTGCAAAATCGTAAAAAAAAGTTTTTCGAATGTTTTTCAAGAAACGTTTGTGATTGTGACGTGATTAGATTTCATTGACGAACACGCTAGTTTATGAGTAACAAATTAGATAATGTAATTTTGGCATTTCGAGAATAACATTGACAGTAAAAACGATTGAAATAAAACAGCATTTCCATGAATTTCAATGATATAATTCTATTATTTTAAGGAAGCCTGTGATACAATGTTTTCACAATCATCATAAATCCGAGTAATAGTAGGATTTCTTTGGTAAAACATCATGCTCAAAGACATTTCAGAAACTTCGAAATATCTTTTTAATTATAATAACTGAAAAACCGTCCTTCTTTTTGAACAGAGTAACACGAAATATAAATTACTGACATTACACATTAATTACTACGTTCCCTCGGTGTCGCTCAAATTATCCTGCATCCTGTTTTCAAATTTCTACAAAGTGCGTACTTACGCCTAGGGATGGCTTTATTCATTAATATATTTTTTTGATCAAAAATTGAATCTCAGTTTCTAACTTAAATATGTAAATGCTTTCTCTTTTGCGTCAAAAAGTTGGAGATTTAGTATTTATCAGTTTTACCGCTTGTCAGTGTTATTATATCCTTTGTCAGTGTGCGCCATCTGTCGGAATATCTTAGAACCAAGTCGTGCGCTCTCTTGTGACGACTCAGAGAACTACACATTTGCACAAACAGCATACTGTGAAGGCCGCACGGATACAACGCTGTTAGCATAGCAATCGTCTGCAAAAGCGGTGCGCAGAATGCAACTAACTAGGTATGTGGGACAGTGATCGTCTCTATTGGTGTCACTCGAATCCTGAAGGTCAGTAATTAAATACTCCACAAAAATGTTGTTCTGCAATGTCAAGTTCTGTCCTGACTAGGCACAGTAGCGACCTCAATTAACTGTCTCCACTTACACTTTGACTTGTGATTACATATAAATTTTGGACTAGGGCAAACTTTGTGGGTATATTTACTGTAGATGACTCATATAATTTATACATTGTAATGACTCACCTACATCTGAAAAAATATTTGCAGCCATTTATGTGATACGAATCTGATACAAGGGCAACAACATTTCCACAAAGAAAAAATTGGGCTTCTGTATAAAAAATAAAAACGAATGCATGGATACTACGTAAGAATGGACCTTACGATAATTGCCACAGCTTGGTATTTTGTTCGTTTGCCGGAGCAGTAACTTTTTCTCTCTAAACATTTGTCATTTCCTGCTCAAATACAATCACTTGATGCACAGGTAGCTCGAAAATTAATATTCTTTTTCATTTAATAGTCGTATATCTCTAACAAAATTCACCAAGAAAACATAAATATGATCATAAAAAGGGGTAGATAATGATGTTCCTAAAAAAACGTCTATTTTTAATAAATTTTAGTTTCTTAAAGTTTGAATTTGTTTTATATTTATATTTATCTTCGACGTACTCATAATAAAATCAATTTAATTGATCAAAAACTGATCTAACTAGTGTCAAATAATCGTGTAGATCACAACTACTAGTTTAATTACATACCTTTCTATATCTAAGTTAAAATATGACAACATTGCCAGCAGAATTTTTTTAGAAGAGACATATTTCAATAAAGTCTAGTTATTTTATGCGAATTGCTTATGTGTGACCATATTTTCTAAACTTTCCAAATTTTATAATAGATAATGTACGCGGATTTTGAGTTATTCATGCGCAAGCACACTTTTTAGAAAAACCCAGTTCTGTCTTGCACGAGTACGTTTTTTGAGCCCTTAAATCCTCGCTCCCACTCCTTTACTAACATAATTGAATCGTCAATAGAATATTACGACGATTATTGTTTACATTTGATACCAAGAAGATTTTGCTTCCGCGTAATAGAAAATATTTGCATCGACAAATGGGTCACGTTCTGATTTGTTTCTACCGCCATGGAAAACTCCATACCTCTCACTTCTCTCGTATCAAACTAAATCAGAGTTGTAGAATTCTAACTGGGAGACTCTAGGATACTAGTCCCAACGGTGGTGCATTTTTGACACTAGCTAGAGCGCTACTACAGATTTAGTCATTGCCTGGAGGAGAATTCTAGCGGCTGGGTGCTCGTATCGGTAGTTTTCTGTAGAGTCTCCAAACAATAATAGACGAATGCCGGGGCAATGTCCTAACAAATATTCCACGGACCGCTCACGGACCGTGAGATCTCTTCCTCTGTCTTGTCCTGCTCTCACCCCCCTTACTTACACATACTTTCACTTATGTCAACTACACTACAACCCGTGCCGGGAGATCAGTCTGACGTTAGTTTGTCCCTTTTGGGGCACTGCCCCACATGGGAGATACCTTGACATGGGAATCCCACGCACGATGACGTGTAGGTCAGCGCAAAATCTCACCACCGGGCAGGGAAAGAACACCACCACCTCCCCAGGAAAATCATTTAATACCGGGACTAATGACCACAGTAGCTGACGCGCCCAGACACAAGAATCAAATCAATCGCCCTGAGTTGCACGTTTCGGCCACTGACGCGTGCGTCCCCGGCGCAGGACCCCCAGCAGTGGCACGCCGTCTTCTACATCATGGCGGTGTTGTACGCCGTGGGCGCCGCTGCCTTCATCGCGTTCGGCTCGGCGGAGCTGCAGCCGTGGGCAATGGAACCCGCCCGCTGATGGCGGGGAAGCCCTCCTGCGCAGACGCAAGCCCGCTGCGCACCTCTGCCCCGTCACGGACTGACGAATAGGGTTCGACCCGGTGGACTCTCTTGGGACGACTGACAAAAGAACGTGGGCAGGTGCTTGAGGTGAAGGATTTCTCCTTGATGTCCTACTCCGATTGTTCTCCCACTGAAAGAAACCGAAGCGGAAAACTACTGCCGTTTTCTCACGAGTGATACTGAATCCGTAATAATTAGTTACGAATATGCTTGATACTCATGATTTGATAACTACACATTGTATTATTTCATACTGTACATTTTATTTATAGTTTTAAGGTGGTATTTAATACATGATTTTGATTTTCATATATTTTTTTGTTTATTTCAATTTCATTTTGTATGTGGAAATGAGAACTAGTCAGAGAAGTCAATTAACAGAAGCAAGAATTGAACTAAACGTAAGGGAGCAATTGTGGATTCTTGCCTCCGTAGACTTTCATGTCTCGCTTCTCCATTGTGTTCTCTACACCACAATCGTAAAGCCGGGACTTTAGTAATCGATTTAGTAATGTCTTAAGATAAGATGAGCATTTTATTATCTTTGAACGGCTATAATTTCCTAATTCCCCCTAAAGTACATTTTTACGTCACGCTGCCCGATACACGTGGCAAACGGAATTATGATGCTAAGCACCGGTCACCAATTTGACAGAATTTGACTTCCAATACCTTCGTTGTTTTTACTCGGCAGGAATAAAATCTGCTTCACAGAATGATGTGCAATAAACATTTGTTTCCCTTCTTTAATTATAAATATGACTTAATACCTGCCTTTTAATTACTAACTTTTAAATAATAACATTAATCACAATGAATGCAATATGAAATATTAGTAACAGCATGACCGAAGATGTAAAATTAAGATAGGGTTGTTGTGTTTTTACCGACTGGATCCACTTTTTTTTAACTCTCAAAGGTGAATATAGTATAGGAAAACCTAGATAATAAAAATCACACAACTCTGAAAACACGTACAGTTTTCTTGAACATACTAATGCAATGAAGAATAGCGGTCTACCAAGTTTGACTAAATAATATTATTCATGAATAATTTTAAAAAATGACACTATCTTCTCTATTGTTGATTTCCATATTGTGAACGCATCTGAATGTAACTTTCGCTCTCGACCTATATTATACACTGACTTTCTCAAGCTTGATAATGAAAGAAAAGTTACTTTCGAAATGCAATTTATTTATTGTATATTAATAAATGTCAATCAACTTTCAAAATTTTTGTTTTCTTTTAATCTCTCTGATGTCTATAATTCTTCTGAAAATATTAATTATTTTATAATTTGTCCTTTAAGCCGAAATAATGTGAATGGATGCTTTTCCTTGCGAGAACAAAAGGGTTAGAGCGAGATTATAGAACTGTTTGTTTCTGAGCAACAAAGAAAGTTTAGACATTGAAAATCCTTTGTGCAACATTCACTTTCTGTTTTAGAATATCTTGAATTATTTGTGTGCATAGTACTTGCACAAACTACAATACTTACTATTTAAACTTGAATACGTCTGCGTGCCTAAGTAATAATAACCAACTACGTCATGTGTGTATATACCAATTTCTAATGCGCGCGGAAATACAAAACTCAGCAGAAACCGGCCAGGTGAGAGATGTCTAGGTTTTTTAAATGTAAAATACATAGAAGATAATCCAAAATCAATGAAGCAGTTTTGATTTCCCCTGAAAATTGCAAATATAGGTTTGTTTTATTCCGCTTATTTTCATACTACCATTACCGAGAGCTAGCTCATATCCAATGGGGCACTGATTATGACAGCTCTCATTATGCAAAAGCAAGGCTCCAAAGAAGAATTCTCCCACCACTATTTGCTATACACGTGTTGCTTTATGGAACAAACATTTTTTATATTACTATTATGTAGAGAACTGATCAGTTGTATTTCTACGTCTAATGTACAGTGTGTGTTATTACGATATTAAAGTAATCATGAAGAGAGTATATTTACTAAACTTGTGTAAATTTTGTATTTATTTGTGTAAGTAATTGTT